ATTGGCCGGAAGTTGTGCGGGGCGGGGCGCGCGGTGGCTCGGCGCTCGCTCTGGGAGAGTTGACAAAGCCCCGCAGGGAAGGACGCCTCGCGGCGCGGCGCCCCGGGCCCCTCGCCCCGCCGCCCCGCGCTCCGGCCCGCGCCCGGCCCCGCCGCCTGCCCACTCGGACGGCGCGCCCGCGCCCCAGCCCGGCCCCAGCCGCCCGCGCCCAGGTAGCGCCGCCCCGCCCAGGCCGGCCCGGGGGCGCGGGGGGCGGGATGCGGCGCCCGGGGCGGCGATGACCGCAGCTCGCTGCCCGCGGGCCCGGTCCTGACCCCGCTGCCTGCCGCGCGCCCGCTCGCCGAGCCCCGCCGAGGTGAGCCCCCCGCACGCCCGCGATCCCCGGTGGGCGGGCTGGGGAGGGTCGGGGTGCGGGGCGCGGGCGGGAAGGGCAGGGCCGCGATCCCGGCGCGGGGCTAGGGCCCAGGCTTGCGCCGCCGCCGCTCCAGCCCGGCCCGCGGCCCTGCCCCGCGCCCCGCCCCCCGCCCCGCACCCCACGTGGGCCCCCCAGCGCAAATTTGTCCGCTAATGGCGCAGGCGATTATCTGCGGGGCCGCTCGGTGTTGTGTGTCCCGCGGGCAGGGCCCAAGTTACAAGCGCCAGGAATCCAGACGGTGTTTGGAGAGGGGGCGGCGGGGGCGGCTGGTAATTAGTGTAAACCCTTTGTCTGCCTTTGATACGCACAGCTTCTTCCAGCCGCGCTTCCTCCGCCTGGAGCGCGGCGCTGAGGGGGGCCGGACCCCGGGTCTTGCGGGCCTGCGCCCTGGGCCCTGAGCAGCGCCCAGCCCCGCGCTGAGTGACCGTGCCCCTGCCCCGGGTCCGACCAGCGAGATGACGCCGAGCCCGGCGCTGCTGCTGCTGCTGCTGCTGCCGCCGCTGCTGCTGCTGGGGGCCCTCCCGCCGGCCGCCGCCGCGCGAGGTGAGTCCTGGCGCTCAGCCCGGTGCCCTGGTCTCCGCAGCACCCGCCCCTTTCCCGCCAGCCCTGAACCCTGCCACAGTGCCCGTCTGGCACGCGCCACCCCACCCTGCCGGCCCCACCTCACCAGGCCCCCCACCGCTCCAGGGCCCCCCTCCCGCCTGGTTCCCCCTTCACCCCCTCCCCGCTCCCTGTAGGCATTTCCAGCTCACTCCGGAGTTCTCCGAGCACATCCTCCTGGCGCCCTACCTCGCCCCTAGCTCACCCTAATACCTTCAGCTCTTAAAGCGGGCAGGATCACTTGGCTTGTTGGCCAGGTGTGCTCTGACCTCAGCTCCTGCCCAGGATACACTACCCTCTTGTCTTGCACACACCCTTTCACACACATACCTGTAGTGGAGGTCAGCTGGTCATCCTCTGGATTCTTGGGGAGTGGGCTGTTTGTGGCCACAGCGGCTCCAAATGGGTCCCTGGGGACCTGCAGAGGACCCCCCCCCCCAACCGTGGCCAACCTGGGTATGAGACATGGGTGACATCTTGACGTTGGGAACTCACCCTGACCCACCTTCCAGCTGACCCAGACCTGGGCCATATGCCTGCCCTGCGCCTGCCCACCCTAAGCAGCAGCACAGAGTAGAGGCTGGGGGAGGGGGTGTCCCCAGAGCATAAGTGGCACCATTGCAGAGAGAGGGTTGGTCTTAAAGAGACACTTGGGGAACACAAACCTCAGGCACATACACCATGTTTGTCATAGTATATACCATGCTGTGGCCTAGGCACGGCCTCCTAAGTGATGTCTTGTGAGCAGCCCCACCCCTGGACACAGCCCCAGGGAGGGTGTCCATGGCCAATGGGTAATGTACATGCTCGCACACTCCTGCCCGCCATGTGCCAGTACCAGAAGGGCACAGTGCTGGCCTCCCCCACGGTTAGGCGGGACCTGCAGCCAGGCCAGCCCTTTGGGTATGTTGACCACTCAGGAGCGTCCCTGCTCTGTCCGCCAGTCCTGAGGCTTCGCACCCCTCCCCTGCCGCCCAGAGTGCGCACTGAGCCCAACCTGGCCTTATATGGCCACGTTCGGGTGTTGGGCAGCGGGCGGCAGCCCAGGTAGGCCTTTTGCCACTGTGACCCCCCCGCCCTCCCCCCGCCTGCCAGGGACTGGCTGGCTAGAGGGTGGGGGCTGTCCAGGCGTGGCTGGGCTGGGCAGTGCCCTGGGCATGCAGGCACTCAGGCCATGCTGGGTGAGGCCCCCCCTACAGCCGGCGGCCCAGACTTTGATTCCTCTTTTATCTGTTTGGACGCCCCCATCTCTGCACCTGCCTGTTCTTTGGCCACTTGGCCAGGGCGGTTCTGGAGGCCTCTGTCCTGCCACAGTCACTGGCTGGAGCTTAAGGGCTAGAGCTTCAGGCTGAGTAGTGTATGACAGTGGGCGGGCAGCACCCTGCCTGTCAATGAGGGGGAATAGAGGGGCCATCCCCTCCTTCCTCGTCCCCTATTGGCCATGGCCTTGGGGCTGCACCTCATATCCGGCCTTGGCTCTGCTGTTGAAGGCCCTGGCCAGCACCAAGGAACTGGGAGGGAGCCGCCTTCCAAGGGCAAAATCCTTGTGGTTGGGGTGATTGGGGGGAGGAACACATTTCCTGAATTGTACTGACTTCTGCCTCCAAGCCTAACCTAGACTGGAGCGGTGGCGAAGTCATTCAAGCACATTCCTGTTTCCCCGGTGAGCAGCCCAGTTTGGACCTTAGTAGGGCTGGTGAACTGCATGTGGAATTTGGGGCTGTTTTGAAAGCCATCTCCCTGGGGTGCTGTAGTTTCTGGAATTCTGATTCTCTAGATTCGGGTCATACTTTTAAAGTTCCCCTTTGCCCAAAGTTTCACAATCTTCATGGGTTTGCCTTAGACTGTTTTCTAAATTTGTGAAAAGATAGGATTCGGTTTTCTCCATGCTACTTTGTTTCTCACAGTGGGAACTCAAGAGGTTTAGAATGAAATACCTTTCACCCACAGCACTAAACAGTGTCCAGCTTTCTGGAAGTGCCCCCTTTGCTCTTTTGCAAGGATGGCCCAGGGATAAGTCTGTGAGTAGCAGCCCAGGAGGTCATTCTCCTGCCCTCTGGACCCAGCTTCTGTGCTTGGGGTGCACTGACCCTCACTCATGGTCAAGGTACCTGCTGTGGCTGCCCAGTGTCCCAGGGACAGCACAGTCTGGACGACTTGCCTTGGGTGCTGTGTCAGGAGGAAGAACAAGGGTGTCTAATGTAGTAGGGACGCTATGGCTGGCACTGACCTCAACTCCTGGCCAGGCTACAGAAGGCCTTACCATCCCTAAGCAGTGGCTGACCAGTATGCAGCCGGGGCTGAGGTGGACACGGGGGAGCCAGGCCCAGGCGCTTCGAGGTGGGGATGTGGGCCAGCCTCCCATTCACGTCTGGAGCTCCACTCTTGCAAGGGAAAATAAATCACTGTCCCCTTGGGGTGGGGGGAGGGAGCTGTGAACAAAGTCGCCTTTGGCTGGGCCTGGAAACACCGACCGCAGACTCCTTTATCCTTTGTGCGGGAATCAATGGGCCTCAAGGCTCTCAAAGTTGCCTTTCAGCCTGCCTGCCCTGTGCCATGGCCCTAACTAGGGGAAATGTTGGTTTTTCCCCAGCTGAGGCCTCCAGCTTTGGGCCTACCCGGCCCTGGCTCACTGTTTGCTGACAGTGCTGGGGGCAGTGGGCTCATCCCCTCTTGCTGGCCACCTGCCCACCATACAGCTAGAGCTGGGTCCCTGGCCTGTGCTGTCCTCCTCTGCCCCATTGTACCTTATCTGGTGACTCTATCCCTGAAGTGTCCAGGTGACAGGTGATGGTCCTGAGCCCTCATGGATGCCCTCCTCTGCCTGCCACCCACTCCTAGCAGTGGTCATCATGAGCTCCTGGTCACGTTTCAGATGCCCAGACCAGTTGTCCTTGGGTAGAGAAGAACAGGGGCTGCTCCTACATGGGACTGCAGCCTCAGGATTCCCACAGTCCAGGACTGCTAGGGTGGGGACAGAGCAGGATGTGGGGACAGAAGGGGGCTTGGCAGGGCAGGCTTAGGAGAGGTGGGTCCTTGGAGGGCAGCCGTGGCCAGGAGGGTGCCTGCCAGCCTGGCAGCTGTTGAAATCCAAGGGCTTCCAGCTTGGCAGGAAGCACGACCCCTCTTTCCATCAGTAGAGTCTATTTCTTAAGAGATTTATTTGGACTATCCCAGGGCTGTGGAGCAAGTAATGAGGCCTCTGGGCGGGGGGTGGGGGGTTTGAGGGGAGGAAGCCATAGTGTGGAGCTGGAGGGCAGGGGAGGCCCCAGGCTATTTGGGCATGGTGATAGTCAGGGGTGCCCCTCAGGTAGCTTAGGTTCCCTGTCTAGGTTCACCTACTCAGTGGCTCCAGGGCTGCCCTCTGTACTCTGCAGTCCACCTGCCCAGTCCCCAGTGGTGTCTGTGGGGCTGGGCCCTGCGCTGGGCTGCAGATGTCAGGGCACCCTGAGGGCTGTGCAACTGTAGTCTGTAGCCTCCAGGGTCTGGGAAGCCCTGGCTGGGCTCATCGCGCTATCCTTAGGAAGTCTGTGTGTGGGTAGGGGTCAAGGGCCATCTGGCCTGTGATCGCGGGTGTACCTGGACCACCTGAGTTGGGCTGTCCAACCTAGGGGCTGAAAACCCCCGTGGGGACGATATATCAGTTCAGCTGAGCTCTGTCCCAGTGACTCTAATCAGGTTAACAACCTTGTTAACACCTTTGAGGGGCTATTGAGGTATGGGTCAACATCTGGGGGCTTCTGATAGTGGACCCTAGTCCAATCTGCAGCCTGTGGAGCTGGTGTTGTGAGTTGAGGGTAGAGGCAAGGTAAAATTTGATGTCTAGGGGGCCTGGGTGTCCAGTTGATCCCCTGGGTGGGTCTCCTGGTGGTCAGTCTGCTATGGGTAGTGAACATGTGGTTTCACAGGGTGGTGGCCCCCCCGATAACACTGACGTGTGTGACCCCAACATATTAAGGAGTGTCTTGGAGCCAGCAGTCCACAGAAATGCTACCTGAGGACTACCAGACCTAGAGTGGTTATGCAGTGTCCCCAGGGCCACCTCCACCCAGCCTGCTGGTTTTCCTGAGAGATGCTGCTGGGCAGTGGGTGGGCTGGATGCTCCAGCCATCTTGCTGAAGCATGGTGTCTCTCTGTGGTGCCCAGAATAGCCTAGTTTCTGGGGCAGCCACCTGCCTGTGGATCTTACCAGGGGTGCCCTTGGTCTGTTGCCATGCCCTGATCTGCCTGGACCTGGCCCTTTGTGTTCTGGGTCATGCCCATATATGTGTATAAACATGCACACATACCTGCGAGGACCTGGAATTCAGGTCTGGGGCTGAGCCTGACCCCTGGCACCTGATAGGCACTTGGTCCCTGTGAAGGTCACCTGTGCCCTTCCTCCTGGGGAGGATACTCCACTCTTATTTCCTGACCTTGGCTTCCTGTAGCAGCCGGTTGTAGGTGGTGGGGGCTGTATGTCCTCCTTAAAATACGGGACTGGAGAAGTGCCTCGGGAGTTAGGGGCACTGGCCACACGAGGCTCAGCACCTGGTCAGCTTATCACCACTGGGCAGATGGCTTGACATCCCACCTGGGTTGTTACTTGCTGTGGCCTCTCCCAAGGACCTGTGCAGAATTCCAGAGGGCCAGGCTGGGCCTGCCTCTCCCTCTTTCTGGTCCAGGTTCCCCATACTGTCCTTGGAGTCTCCCCCATTAGGCCACTTTGCTTTTCTAGGGGGGTGCAGGGGCATAGCCGGTAGCTCCTGGCTGGCTGCCTCCATTCTATAGCCAGGCCCACTGCCTTGCCAGAGAATTCCTTCCAGGCCAGAAATTCCTGAGGCCATGCAGGGCTTGCTGGGGACTGACTGAACTGGGCCTAGCTGGCCCTGGACTGGCCAGGTGGTTCCCACACAGCACACACTCCCACTGTCTTCAAGGTTGGCTGCCCAGTAGCACTTAGACCAGTCTCTCCAGGAAGAGAACTCAGGGTCAGCAGGCCAGGACTCGAGTGGACACCACTATGTGGAACCAGACATCCCAGCTATCAGCCTGCACCTGCTCCATTCCTTGGGTTTCAGGTACACCTGGCCTTCTGGGTGTCTCCATCAGTGCCCCCTCCCCCCATGCCAGCCCGGCATCTAGAAGGCAATACCTTCCTTCCAGGGGAAGGGCTCCATGTAGAGGCTATGGAAAGACCAGCACTGGCCTGGTGCAGCTCCTGCCTGGGTCTTGAACCTCCAGGTCCTGAGTGCTACAGGGCCTGGTCTTTGTCCCCTGTGGTCACACAGTGTGTGGTATGAGTGCATGTGTGTTGTATGTACTGACTCACACTCTGAACTAAGGTTTGGTCCTTATCGGTAGACTCTCCTCCCTCTCCTCCCCTGCCCCAGTGCCCCAGTGTTCAGCTGCCACTGCTCCCTTAGAGGAGTGACAGTCTCAGTTTACCCCTGCATCTGCCTCACACCTCAGTCAGTCATTTGCATCCTGCCTATGCTGGGCTTTCTTAAGGCCTTGGCCAGGAGGCATGCAGGGTTAGATCTTCCTGGAGGAGGCTTGGAATAGGGGATAGGCAGAGGGGCCCTCAGGAGGCCCAAGCATGGCTAGCCAGCCACAGCCCCTTCCCAGAGCTGTCTCCACCTTCCCCCTCAGCTTTCTTCAGGTGGGCTGTGAGGCAGCCAGTTCCCTCACTGGCTGTAGCTTCAGGTCTTGCCTCAGTTTCCTCACTGATTGAGTGGGTTGGACACCCATCCAGGTGGAACAGTGGGGACCTGTGTTTTGTGAGCTAAATATAGAGCAGAGGCAGCCATGCTGTGGCCAACATTCCCAGGAGTCTGGGGGGCTGGGGGTGGGACAGGCAGTGGGGTACAGTGGAGCCCAGGTGGGGGCAGGGCTGGAGGGATGCTGTTTACTTTAGGATAAGGCTGGCTCCACTGGCTAGGCTGCCGCCGGTTTGGACCCAGCAGTGTGTGCAGATTGGCCCTGAGGACCATGCTTCCGGCCATCTGGAGGTCACTTGGTTCTGCCCCTTCTTGGGCGGTGGCCATGGGCAGGGCTCTCTACCTCTCCATTTGTGTGTGTCATCGTTTGGGCTCCTTCTTTCCACTATGCCCCAAGGCTTCTCTTTATGACGGGGCAGGGAGGGGCTGGAGTGACTTGTCCTGAGGCACAGTGAGGCTGGGTGTTTATACTTGAGGTGGCGTCCTGTCTGGTGTAGGAATGTTGGGTCAGCTTTTCCCCTGGCAGCCCCCAGGCTCCCTTTGGGCAGTTGTGAGTGCATGCATGTGCCGGAAGGTCTGTCCTGGAAGCCCCAGGCACCAGACTGGCCGGGGGCCTCAGGGGCTAAGGCAGGGCCTTGGCCGCTTCCTCATTGTCCTGCGGCCTGGGAGACCCTGTGAGTGGTGGGATTTCAGACAGTGACAGGTGGTGGGCAGGGTTTGCCTGGAATGGAGCTGGGACACTGAGAGGGTTGGGGAGGGGGTCTCAGGACGTCATGTGTCTTTGGGCTCTGCTGCCCCTCCCACTGTGAGCCCCTGGGACAACTGTGCTTGGGTTACCCCACTGCCCTGGGTGGTCCATTCAGGGAAGAAGTGAGCTGTCAGCCTCCCTCCCACCTTTTCTCTCTTTCCTTTTCTAGGGGGAACCAGGGAGGCAGGAGAGGGGAGGGCTGCTGTGGAGACCTCAGCTAGGACCAGGCTGGGACCCAGCATAGGAATGGGGAACCTGAGTAGAGTGGGAAACATGGGTTGGAGAAGAGAATTTTAAAAAGATGGGAAAGGGGCTAAGCCAGGCAGGTGTGGGCAAGAGTGGGGGAACTCAGAAGAGACCTTTTCCTAGGACCACCACCCCCGGCAAACCAGAGATGTTGCCTCTAGAATCCCACTGGAAGTCCTGGACCCCCCTCCCTTGGGCTGGCAGCTCCTTTTGTGGCCTACATCAGCTCCCCAGCCAGGGTGGACCCTTTGAAGTGGTTAGGGCCCCGTGAGGTCACAGCAGCCCCTGAGTCTGAGGATGCTCACAGAAGCTTGCCAGCTGGGCTGCTGAGGCAACATAACGGTAATTGCATGTCAAAAGCAGCTGGTTATGGAAAATAAATGCACCCTCGGGCCTCGTCACAACAACATCATGGAGTGGACACCACCTCTTGGCACCCCCCAACTGTGGCTGGCCTGGAGTGTTGTGCCCAGGATGTTCCTGGCCAGGGGTGGCTGCAGTGCTGAGTGGATACTCCTCACCAATGTGCTTGCAAACAACGCCTGAGGGAAGCCAGGTGCCTGTGGTTGCCCCTCCCAGTTTGGGGATGAGTGATTCCCTGTGAGGACCCCTGGTGCTGCAATTGCAGTCCCCATCCTGGCTCAGCCTCCCTTCTGGGAAAGCCTCCTACCTTGCAGCACCACAAGGTAGTGATGCCTGCAGGGTCTGTGTGTTTGGACCTGCCTTCCCAGCTGGGTAGTCACTTGTTGCCTGCCAGGCCTACACTCCAACCCCGAGGTACTTCGGCCCAGTGAGGAGTGCATGGCCCAGGACTGGTCCTCTCCCTGGGGACAGACAGCTTTGCAGGGCCTAGGCCTCTGCCGTGCACTCCTCCTATGGGTGCTGTGCCAGGGGCTGGCTCTCTGGACCCACTCCATCTCCTAGGCTAGAGGTGGCTGTCAGCCATACAGAAACTATACAAAACCCCTGCTCTCTGCAGACACCACCCTCTGACTCTAGGGCTTTAGGGTCACACCCCTGGGAGGTTTAGCCACCTGACAGGGCCTGGGTCCTGAGGCAGGCAAACAGCCCTGGGCAGATACGATCTATGAACTCAGACACAGACAGACCATACACAGATGGGACACTAGCTCCCACACATGTGTGCACACACATGCCTCACTCATCTGTAAGCATATGTGGCAGCGAATGCTGACAGACATACACCTGGCTATCCAGCCTGGGCATCAGCTCTGGCGACCTGTGTTCTATTTGTGTGGGATGGCTATGAGGTCACTGGTCCCTTGCCAGGCCTGGCTGGACCCTGGAATGATGATGGGTGGGGTATTGGGGCAGGGGTGGGGTACAGGATCTGAAGTGGGATGGTCCCCTAACCAGGCCAGGTCCTGGTGGGAACATGGTCCATCCTTTGAGGGTGTGTGTGTGTGTGTGTGTGTGTGTGTGTGTGTGTGTGTGCAGTTGAGGGGAACCAGCCAGGAGCCCCACCTGTTGCCCTGTTCCTGAGGCCCCATCCTCTCTGACCAGGGGACATGTACTTCCTTCTGGTATGACCAGGAAATGGCCCTGTTTTCTTGATTCATGCTTGTAAAGGGATTATTGAGCTCTTTGGGGCTCACCTTCCTCAGGGAGGACACTGCTGATGCTACAGGCTGCCTGCCATAGGGTCCACCAGCAAGGTGCTTGGGGCTGGCACACAGTGGGCTCTGTTGAGTCTGGGCTGCTATGGTTGGAGAGGAGAGGCTCACACCTGGGGCCTTTGCTGCCTTACTGGGCAGGTTTCCTGAGTGGAGCCTAGACAGGGCTACCAGATGCCTAAGTGCCCCTGACCAAGTCCTGTGACTCCTGCAGGCCCCCCAAGAATGGCAGACAAGGTGATCCCACGGCAGGTGGCCCGGCTGGGCCGCACTGTGCGACTGCAGTGCCCAGTGGAGGGGGACCCACCACCGCTGACCATGTGGACCAAGGATGGCCGCACAATCCACAGTGGCTGGAGCCGCTTCCGGGTGCTGCCCCAAGGGCTGAAGGTGAAAGAGGTGGAGGCTGAGGATGCAGGCGTGTACGTGTGCAAGGCCACCAACGGCTTCGGCAGCCTCAGCGTCAACTACACCCTCATTGTGATGGGTCAGTTGGTGTTTGGTTCAGAGGTCATGGTTGGGTCAGAGTTGCTTGGACATGGGATATGTGGAAAGGCAACATGTACATCTGGGGGGTGGCACACCTACATGGGGCATGTATCAGCAGGCCCTGACAGCAAACTTCCCTATGCTACCCAACTCCACCCTGCTTGTTCAGCCTGTGCTGGACCCCCCAGGAAGTGGACAGGACCCCCTGGGTCCTGCTCTGTCCTCACCCCCAAACTGAGCCTCCAGTAGTTTAGGTCCCTGTTCCACGGACCCAGCCTTGGCCTCCTCTCCTCCCGGGCAGCAGGAGTAGGTATGGGGGGGTTCTAGGCGGTGGTCCCACTGTAGGGCGGACTGAGCAGGCCACAGAGTTGGCAGGGCATGCCTTGGCGTCGGCCACCACTTTGAGGCTCGGGTTTCGGAGTTCAGAGGGGCCGCTGGGAAGCGAATGGCCTTTCTGTTCTCTTCTACCCCTGGGGCCCAGGCATAGGGGAATAGACAGGTGTCCCTGGTGGCGTGCCCTTCACACGTTGGTATCAGGCATGCCTCACCCACTCTGCTGGGCTCCCTGGTGTGGGGCCCCCAAGCCAGGCTATCTTTTATAGCAGAGGTCCTGGGTGGTGGCCTGAGACAGCCTGGCCCTTGGTCCCAGGCTTGATAAAGGAGGTGGATCTCATAGGGTGGCAGGGGAGACATTCTTCAGCATGCCCGTCCCAACCTCCCCCCACTGCCCAATGCAGGGCTCTGTAGATTGTGGAATGGAAATACTGCAGCTGCCCCCCCCCACCATATTCTTTCAAAGAGGACGATGAATGGGCGGTATGTGAACCATGTCTATGCACCAAGCCCTCGGCCCCTTGATGTGGGCTAGGGTTACTGCAGCTGCTGACTGGGCCTGGCCCCCTCCTCTCCCGGGTCCTGCAGACCCCCCGGAGCCAGGGGACTGGCCCTCCAGGCCTACCCATGCTTGTCAGGGTCACCTGCACTTGGGAGTGGACTGGCAGGCAGCCCTCGTCCAGCTGTCCCTGGACCCTGAGATGTGGGTGTGTCTGTGACCTCTGCTTGGATTCTAGGGCTGTCCAGGCTGAAGCCACACTGGGGTCTTGCAAGGGTCTCCCTGCACCTGCCTCACCCACTCTCCCTGTGGTCCTCCATCTCTCTGCAGATGACGTCAGCCCAGGGAAGGAGATCCCAGGGCCCAGCAGTTCCTCTGGGGGCCAGGAGGACCCAGCCAGCCAGCAGTGGGGTGAGCATGGCGTGGGGTGTCCTATGTGCTTGGGACAGGGAGGTGATTGTCCTCCTGGTGTCCCACAGAGCTTCTTCACTGACCTCGATGACGCCCCGCCCCACAGCCCGGCCTCGCTTCACACAGCCCTCCAAGATGAGGCGCCGGGTGATTGCAAGGCCCGTGGGCAGTTCTGTGCGGCTTAAATGTGTGGCCAGTGGGCACCCACGGCCTGATATCACGTGGATGAAGGACGACCAGGCCTTGACACGCCCTGAGGCTGGTGAGCACAGGAAGAGGAAGTGGACACTGAGCCTGAAGAATCTGCGGCCTGAGGACAGTGGCAAGTACACGTGCCGTGTGTACAACAGGGCGGGGGCCATCAACGCCACCTATAAAGTGGATGTGATCCGTGAGTGAGAGGGGCTTGGGGGGCAGGGGCAGGGACCTGACGGGCTGGGAGCTATGCTGACCCGTTGTTCCTGCCATTAGAGCGGACCCGCTCGAAGCCTGTGCTCACGGGCACGCACCCTGTGAACACAACAGTGGACTTTGGGGGGACTACATCCTTTCAATGCAAGGTGCGCAGCGACGTGAAGCCTGTGATCCAGTGGCTGAAGCGGGTGGAGTATGGCTCCGAGGGCCGCCACAACTCCACCATCGATGTGGGTGGCCAGAAGTTCGTGGTGCTGCCCACAGGTGATGTGTGGTGGTCGCGGCCTGATGGCTCCTACCTCAACAAGCTGCTCATCTCCCGTGCCCGCCAGGATGATGCGGGCATGTATATCTGCCTGGGCGCCAACACCATGGGCTACAGCTTCCGCAGCGCTTTCCTTACAGTGCTGCCAGGTGTGTGGTCCCCCGGTCTCACAACCACTCAAGGTCCCCACCTCTGGCCCAGGCTCTTCCGGGGGGGGGGGCCGCAAGAGCTGACCAATAGGGTGGGGCTGCTTTCCCCCTAGGCCACGCAGGACAGGTCACCCCTACTGCACAGGGAACCCAGGGGTACCATGCACACAATCCACATATGGGCTGATCTCCCTGTCCCTGCTATGACATTTCTCTCCTTGCCTTTTTCCTTGGTCTCTTTTGCAGACCCCAAACCACCAGGGCCTCCTGTGGCTCCTTCATCATCAACCACAAGCCTGCCATGGCCTGTGGTTATTGGTATCCCAGCAGGTGCTGTCTTCATCCTGGGCACTGTGCTACTCTGGCTCTGCCAGACCAAGAAGAAGCCATGTGCACCCACACCTGCACCTCCAATGCCCGGACACCGCCCCCCGGGGACAGCCCGAGACCGCGGCGGGGACAAGGACTTGTCTGCACTAGCCGTGGGACTATGTGAGGAGCACAGTCCTCCAGCTGCCCCGCAGCATCTGCTGAGCTCAGGCTCGGCTGCTGGTCCCAAGCTGTACCCCAAGCTGTATACAGACGTGCACACACACACACACATGCACTCACACACACACTCTCATGTGGAGGGCAAGGTCCACCAGCACCAGCACGTCCACTATCAGTGCTAGACAGCAGCCACCTGTCCTCAATGTTGTGTGCCACAGGAAGGGCATGTGGGGGCCAAGGGCAATGGACAGACAGGCTGGAGAGGGAGGGAAGCAGGACACACTGGGACCCCCTGTGGGAGGCACACAGGTAGTTGGCCACACACATGGTCATACTGCCAGACAGACACACACACATACTGAAAGCCTTGAGGAGGATTTGTGTCGCGTGACTTTGCTGTGACGTGTAGCGATGGGCTAGTTGAAGGACTCTCCCCGGCCCGTGAGGGGGGTATCTTGGTGGCCATGGTCACTCCCCCACCTCTGCCCACCTGTGTCCCTGCCCAACCTTGGCGGCTGCTTTTACCTCCACTTGCCCTGGGTGTTCAGGAGCCCTACCAGCACCCAGGGCCAGGGTGGGCAGTGCAGCCAGACCCTGAGAGGCTGGAGCCGCCCGAGGGAACTCACCCCACCCTCCCACTGCCAGAGAGAAGGGCCTTGATATTTATATTTAAGATATGAAGATAATATTAATGTAATGATGGAAGGAAGGCCAGGACGCAGGGACTCTGACCTATCCTGGGGCTCAGGACCCGCCTGGCCTTGCTGCCATGCTGGATGTCCACACCCCCATGGGGCCAATCACCCACCACCCCAAGCCCATGATGGCCCTGGCCTCTGTAATTTTATATAGAGTTTGAGCAGAAGCCTCTTATATTTAATTTATTTTGTTAAACAACAAAGTGTGCATCCTTTTCCTCATTCTGGTGTTTCTACCTGGGTTTGGTTAGTGTATATGCGTGCTGCCTGTGTTCTCATACGTATGCTGATGTGCGTACCTGTGTGTTTCCCCTCTCGGGAGGCTTCTGGAAGCTCCTTCCCTGGGCCTGAGTCCCAGGTTCAATCCTGTGTGAGGTCTCAGGTTTCTGGTTACCTCTAGTGGTGTGGGATGTCAGGGCTTAGGCGGGTGCTGACTGCAGCACTCACTCTGGTGGCTGTTTGGAGCACTGCCCACAACTGTAGTCCTGAACACCTGGTCAGATGGTGCCCCCTCCATCCTGCACATTCCCCCCACCTTAAGCTGGACACCTGCTTTTCCCAGTTCCACTTTATGGGGCTTTCACAGTGCAACGCTGGGAGTTGGGGAGAGGCAAGACCTAGGTCATGGTCACTCTGTCCTGAGGTCTCCATCCCAGTGTTCTCCCAGCAGCTATGGTCTTTTCAGTTGGGGAAACCAAAGCTGGCCACCTAAGCTTGGGCAGTTTTCTGCCCTGGGTTCAGAGCTGTTTAGGAAATGTACAAAAAGGACAGAGCACTTGCTTAGCAGATGTGAAGCCCTGAGTTTAAATCCCAGTACTGCCAAAAAAAGAAGAGAAAGGCACAGAGGTGCCTTATGTGCAATCTGGCAAAGCTATAGGCACAAGGGGCTGTGGTCTTACTGGTTTGCAATGTGTCACCTGACCAGTGTGGCTCTAGTAGAGTCATCCCACCTGGCCCCACAAGTGACAAGTGGCCACTCAGAAAATGTCACCAGGGGGGTCTCTGGAGGTGGGCTCTCCTGAGGCAGCCCAGGATGGCCCCTGCCTCCAGCCTCCTCAGGCTGGACTCTATTTCTGTCCCCAAGGATGCAAGGTCTGATCCTGGGGGAATCCACACTAGTGTGGTCCCGACTCCATGGATGATGGGGCCATGTCTAGCTGGCAGATGCTGGGGAGGGCTAGCTGACCGAGGCACACTGGCCACCCCACCCCATTCCTGGGTTGCATTAACACCCAGGGACAAACATTTCCAGGGGCAAAACTATCTCCCTTCCCAACATGTGCAAGGGGTATCTGGGGGATAGTGGGGCCAAATAACCATGTGAGGGAGATGAAAGACTGGGGCCAAGGGGATGGAGCAGGAGAGGACAGCCTTCTGAAGGGTGACCTGTTGGGCAGAGCATTTGAAAGATGGTGCCTTGAACCCCCAACCTCACTGATTGGGAGGCTCCAGGGCTGGGCAGGAGCTTGTGGGAGCATCTGCACCTACATACCACTACACCTGGCTCTCAGCATGTCTCCTTCATGCACTCTGTCCCCAACTTGGGGGCTCAAGCCCTGCGAGGGATGAACACACACTGGGCTTGAGTACTACGGGGGCTGTGAACAGGATCCTTGCAAACCTGAGGGGCAAGGGGGCCCAGGAGGAGAAGAGCTGGGAGCACCCATCCTCTAACCTCTGCCACCCCTCTATGTGGATAAGGCCAGCCCCAAGTGCCCTTGTCCACCATGAGAAGGTCAGCAGGCAGTCACCAGACCAAAGGCATGGGGCAGAACACATATCTGTCCCCAGCTCTCCCTGCCCTGACAGTCTCAGCCTGCCAGTCAGAGGAGGGGACCCAGCTATGCTTCAGGGTGATCCCTAGAGTAGACCAGGCTCAGTAGTTTCTGATGGGCCATGCAGGACGAGACTTGGTGTCCTGGGTGAAGATCGGCAGGTGGCGGGTACACAGGGGATGCCTCCCAGAGCCAGGCCTGGTCTTTCCTCTGACCTGTCTGGGCAGTGATAAGCTGGTTCCTCTTGAAGGCCGGTGAACTTGAAAGTCGGCACAGGTTCTTGACACCCTCGGGTGTAACACCCACCCCACTCCTAGCTTCAAAGGGCATCCGCAAGCCGGCCCGCAGCTGTCCCAGTGGGAGGGTGCTGAAGCTGATGCCGGGGAGCAGGGTGGCAGTGTGAGACAGAGATGAGGGGGACCAGGATGGCCCCACCTCCATGGTCAGAGGGCCTGGCTGGAGATCAGAGCCTCATCCTGGGGCCTGGGACAGGGACACAGAGGACCTGAGACATGGGAGAGGGGCACAGGGCAGGGACACCCCCCACAACACATACTTGGCTATGGGACACAGGGTCCAGCACCTGGCTGGTGCCAGCAGAGCTACCCTCACAGGCAGCATAAGGCTAAGTCACATGAAGCCAGGCTGGCACACAGATCTCAGGGACACACTAGGGTGGGCATGTGGGGAGCAGGGCTCCCTGGGCTGGGCTGGGACATGGTAGGGGCAGCTTCCTCTCATGGCTGACACTAGCATCCGGCAGGAGGAGCTTCTGGCCCAGCAGGGTACTCTGTCCAGCCTGCCTCAGGGTGCAGGTCCTGAGGCCACTCAGCACAGGAGGGACTGATGGAACCTTGAGGGACACGGGTGATGGTTTGTAGGAAAGCAGGAACAGTGGCTGCTTCTGGGACCCAGCCAAATGAGGACCCATCCAAATCGGGACCCAGGTGTGTGTCCCCAATGCCTCAGAGCCTGGGAATTACCAGTTTATATTCAGGACTCACCAGTCTACCTCCGAGGAGAGAAATATTTGTGAGGGACTGAGTCCCTTGCTGGTCACCATCTGCTTTTTCTACCAAATGAGCTGGCTACCCTGCCCGCCAAGATGTCCAGTGACCTCATGGTGGAGCTGGGCTGGAAAAGGGGATTCAGGGAAAGAGTTGAGGGCTTGCTGGGAGGGACCCCTATGGCAGCATCTCCAGCCCACACTAGACCCTACTGGGTCTGGTGAGGGGGTGACTCTGATAAAGCCAGGAGCAGGGCCTGTTTGAAGCAGATGTCAAGTCTTGGCCGCCTTTGCCTGGCCTGGGACTTAGGGCCACGGCTGACCACCTCCCACCTGGAGGCGTGTGTCTTCATTGGCTGATCCTATTCAGCCCACAGACCAAGGCCCCTCACTGGCCCCAGGGCAGTGTGAAAAGGCTCATACCCACATGATACCTTTCTTGGCCTCACTCACTCTACAGTGCCTCCCTCTCTGCCAGCCCCTTCCCCAGGCACTCTGGTCACTGCCTGACCAGGCTCAGGTCCCTGGTCACTACACAACCCTGGTTCTCCGTGGGGGCGGGCCTGATCCCATCAGCGGCTCTGTCTTTGAGCACTGCTCCTACCTGCTAGACCCGAATGACCATGGATGCTGTCCTTCCCTGCCCATCAGGCCCCACCCATAGTGTCCACAGCTCTCCCACCCCCTGAACCCACTTCAGCCCTCACCTGCCTCAGAGGCCCTGCAGGCTGGGTGCCCTGATCGCTGGACTGCTGGTACTTGTGAGGAGAAGGCTGCTCTTATGCAGGCCACACACCTCACCAGAGTTGGTCATAAGCTTAAGAAAACAGGGAGGCAGCAGGTGTCCCCCAGGACTGGCTGGCCTCTGAGGCGTCCCTATCTCCTTAGCAAAGCATCAGGGTAGTGGGGCTCAGCACCCTCCATAACCGAGAGGGGGAGACTGTCCCATCCAGTAGTCAAGGGCGTGACTTCTCTGGCCTCATCATCTTGAACCTCAGCATGGATCAAAGCCAGGATCCTGTGGCAGGGGTGGACTCCTTCAGGGTCCCCTGTGCTGCCTGGAGCCGTAGGGCTGGGGGCTCTGCAAGTCTCCTGAAGACTCTGAGCACTGGAGTCTGGGGGACCTGGTGATGTCCACCCCAGTTAGGTCCTGGTTCCACCTGGGCCGTGACTGACCATCAGGCCGAGCTCCTGCTCACCTGCTTTCCTCAATGCTGGTGCAAGCAAGTCGCCAGCCATCACACTGTCCCTGGCCACAGCAAACGGTGATGAGGAATTTGGCTAGTTTAAATGTCATTTTAAACCTCTTAGAGGAGGTCTGACCACCAGTCCCTGCCTCTGAGGATCTGGCCCAACAATAGCCAAGAAAGGCCACAATTCTCCACTTCCTGCAGCAGGGTTGGGGGTACGAAGACCAAGGCAGAGTCGGCCAGGGATTGTCCTGAGCTGCTAGGGTTCAGCTGCTGGGTGTGAGGGGCTGGGAGGACATTTGGTTGGTCAACTCTGAGTGTGCTCTGCTAGGCACACTCTGCTAGGCCTCGTGAGCACAGGCCACCCTATAAGCCACCAACCACCACAGTATCCCTGGCTTTCAGGGTGCAAAACTTGCACTGGCCTGCTCAGCAGCTGCCCCCAGGCTTGGCCTCTCATGCCTAGGAAATGGGAGAGCTTCCTCCATGCCCTGACCTGGGCAGCTTCCAGTGAGGCACAAGTCTCTCCCAGCTCAGGCAGGTGCACACACCTGGCTGGTCTCCCTCCTCAGAGCAGGTCTTGCTCCTTTTGGGAGATTTGGACTCTGGAGTTTGTCTGGGGTGGGACAAGGCAGCATTCAGCATTAGGTCCAATGGCCAGCACTGTGGAGCGGCAGCCTCTGGAGGATCCAGTCCCCATGCTGCAGTCACTGACCGAGCATCCACCCTATCTTCCAAGTCCAGGCCAGCCTGTGTCACCCCACCCTAAATACCAGCAGGGCTCTGAAATATAGTCCCTACCTCTGCTGCACTTTTTGGGGCTCCATGAGGCTTTGGCCAGCCAGGCCAGGCCACACTGGTGGGAGTGGTGGGAGAACTAGAGACAGCCGGATTGGTGGGGAGACATCAACCCCCCCATGGCCTTTGCTTCCCTGACCAGAGAGGCCTGGTGTCTGGGGGTGGGGAACCTGGCCTGGGTCTGCAGCAGCCCCAGGTAGGGGCAATGGAGGTGAGGGAAGAGCCAAGGCTCCCATGCCCCACCCTGAGGCAGCTGCACGCCCCACCCCAGTTCCCTGCCGTGACAGCCGCCAGGCATCTGGCCCTGCGCCGGCAGGTGGTGACAGCTGCCAACAGCTGGGGCAAGTATGGCTTATCCTAGGTCTCATGGGTGGGTCTGGCTGGGCCCTTAAGGAGCCTGGCTAGGTCAGTCCACACCCCCTCTCACAGCTGAAAGGGGCTTGTAGTGTCCAGGAATGAGCTGAGGTGCCTACCCCTCACCCTAAAAGGTCAGCCTGATGGGTATAGGACTCAGCAGGGTCTGTCACAGCCCTGTGCCTCGGGTGGGGACTCCCAGAAGCGCCATCTGAACCTGGGGGTTCCCAGACTCCCCATGGGGATGTGTGAGTGCAGTGTAGAAACAGAAGGTGGGTGAAGGGGGTCTGAGCAGAGAGCTGGTATTCTGGCCTCCTCAAGGAGTTGCTTTTTGCTAGGAAGCAGTCCCCAAATGGCATTCCTAGAAAGCCATTGGTTCCCTGGGCTGTAGCCCCTCCTACGACTAGACTGAGATGGAGAGGTCGGGGCACAAGGCCCAGCTGGTTGTCAAGGAACTCATCCTGTTGAGGACTTGGGTTCCTGTCTGTTCAGCCCCACAAACTACTGCTCAGAAGTAGTTTGTCCTTCCTCTCCCAGGACCTTGCAGCAGTGCCCAGGATGCAGGTTGGGGGATTGTACATCTGAGAACTCGAGGACCATCTGGCCTTAGGCAGGACCTAGTGATGGAGGGAGAGATGCCTTTCCCACTGGGCATATGTGCCCTGTGGGCTGGACCTCCCATGGTCACTTGTGTTCAGTGACACAGGCATTGCTGCACCCCACAAGGACCCTGGCTGCACATGGCTCTGCAGTGAGAACTGGGGTCCACTCTGGACTTGGTGGCTACCCAGTGCTGAACTCTGTGCTTGGTTTGGGCTCTGACTCTCCAACATCTTCAGGGCCAGAGGGCTTGTGACCCCAGCCTCTGCCCTCTCACTCTCCATCTGGCTTTGCACCCCAGTATAGGGCCAGTCAGTCTCTCTGTATTGTGAGTTCCAGGCAGCCACCCAGCCACTATGAGCCTCAGTGTCCTCATCTGTGACAGGGGCTGGTGGGAGCCAGTGGTGACCACATGGACGGGAGGTGAGCCCAGGCCCTAGAGGGGAGGGGCAGCCAGGGAGGCGCCAGGCTCCACAGAGGCAAATTCCTTCTGTGTTCACAGCTTTTTCCTCTTTTTTTTTTTTTTGCTCTTTCTTCCAAAAGCCGTCCTCTGCCGTTCCTTCCTGGAGCCCCTCCAAGACAATCGGCACCCAGCTCCACTCAGCGGTCCACAAAGCCCCTTTGACGAGGTGGTGGGAGTTAAACCAACAGTGAGCAGGGGTGGGAGAGGCTGCAGGGGCAGGGAGTGGGGAGGGCTGGTGGCTAGGGGCTCAGACGACTGAACAGAACTCCGAGGTAGATACTCAGATGTCTCCTGCAGGCTCTGGTGAGGCCTGAACTAGCCAGGGAGCATGGGGATTGTTCCTTGTCAATCCCCAGGACTCCCCTGCCCAGGCTGGGTGTACCCCATTTCTGGCTGTGACATCAATGCCCCCTGCTACCTGGCTTTGTGGCCAGGCTCCCAGAATCCAGGTTTTGGCTTGTGGATACAGACATCTAGGGCCTGCTCCATGACTGCAGCCCAGGTTGCTCTGGATAGCTTGTTGCTAAAGCAGCCTCCTGCCCCCAAACCCTGGGCAATCATCCCTGTCCCTCTCACTGTGGACGGCTCTGCAACATGGACCTTAGCCTTCTGGGAAATGAAGGTGGTGTTTCCCTTTTGGTGTCCCCAACAACTAGCCCCACTGTGACTTGGACAGGCTTGTACACAGTGGCACTCACTAGATAATCAGGGAAGGAGCTGTTAGACCATGACGCTGGACATGTACCAGCATCTGTGAAGCTGTGGCCACTTTGCCCTCCTAGAAACAGAGCCCTGATGCCCTTTGGCTCCCCTCAGCTCCCTCAAACCAGCACTTAGCATGAGGCACCCCCAATTTCCCAGGGAGGGGAAGCCTGACTACGGATGGGTGGCAAGGGCCCCCTGGCTCCTGGTCCAGTAGGACAGAAGGGTGGTGGAGGACATGGAGGAGGGGTCCAGGCTGGTGGGGACTAGGCTGAATGTCCTTGATCTGGGGGCAAGAAGCAACTAGGTGCTGGGCAGGCAGAGCTGGATGGCCTGGCCACTGACCTGGATGAGCTAGAGGCGTCTGGGGGAGGAGCCTGGGCTGATGCACTGGTGCCCGGCTTGAGCTGCAAAGGTTGGCCCAGGAAGGTCTGCTTGGCTGGAGGCACATCCATTGCCCACAGGCCCCTACAGGGGCAGCAGGGGAACGTGTCAGGCCCAGGGCCACGAGTGGGCCTGAAGGAGGCACAATCCACCCTTTGTTCCTGAGGCAGCCGAGCCTGCGGGCCAAGAGGAAATGAGAGGAGAGGCAGCCAGCAGCTCTCGCCCGCTGGGCAGGCCTGGGCTGTTAGGGCCCAGCCCAGCAGAGGAGCTGCAGGGCCCTGCTCAGGGAAGGGCAGGCTGTTCCATCCTGCTTTCCAGGCCAACTCAGCTGTAGCCCCAGCATCCTCAGGGGCTACAGGATGTGCGGGTCCCCCTGGGCTGCTCTGAGGGGCATGTGCATGGTCTAGAATCTGGAAGGGCAAGACGGTGGCCCGGGGAGAGTGTGCTACCGTCTATTCCCTGCTCTTGAGCAGAGACCCTTCCTCAGGCAGTGGCCCTGGGTGAGGGGCCCAGCTGCATGGGTCTAGAAGCCCATGCCCCACCCTCCTGGCCAGGGCCAGCATGCACCCATGCCATTCCCTGGCCCTAGCTCTTTGGGGACTACAGAGAGTCACCATGGAGCTGGTCTCAGCTGAGCCTGCAGGGCATGTGTGGGCTGTGCTTCTACTCTTTGTGCTCTGCATGGGCTGTGGGCAGGTCAGCATGTTGGTTTTCACAGATCCTACTGCCCAGCAGAGGAAGTCCATCCTGCTGTGCCTTCCCAACTTCTCGCCCCTCTGGCCCCAAACAGCCCTGGGGTATTTTTCTGGCAGAGGATGGAGGCCGATCAGGGGTCCACAGGGACATGTACCCAACCCAACCCAGGAAGTCTGGAGGGGTCTTATTCCTGTCACTCTCAAGGGACCTCTGTGACTGGGGGTTCCCCACCTTCCTTGTCGAAGCTCCCAGACAGGGGGGTCTCTGGCACCAGCTCCTGCACTGACGAGAAGGGCCCTAGCCTGGAGGGTCAGTTCCAAGACAGGGAGGGAGCATGAGGACCCTGGCCCCAGGCCTGAGCCCCACCTCCTCTGCTGCTAATGGAAGTGTGTGCACATGTGCTGTGTACATATATATGTGTGCCAGTCTGCACATGCACACCACAATGCTGTGTGACATCCACACGTGTGCATACACGGGTGCAGGTGCTTGTTTGTGCATGCATATGTATGTGAGTATGTGTGCACGTTTGTGTGTGGGGGGGGTGCCCATTGAGACCCTGCTGTCCCTCGTACCTCCTCCACTTGCATCCCTATTGTGTGGGACCTGGGCAGGAGGTACTGGGCTAGAGGACCTCGAGGGACCTTGCTCAGGCCTAGAGTCCACTCAATGTCCCTTGGCAGGAAATGGGTGCCCTGGGACCCCACAGTCATAAAACTGGCCTCTGGGGCCTCCTGGGCAGGGTTTCCCAGACAGGGTCTCAGTGAGGACTGGTTAGGTGGCAGAACACTACCTGCTATTTCCTGTCTGGGGATGCATTTCAGCCTGGCCTGTTTAGGGCTGAAAATGGAGCTCAGAAGCCCTGTCCTGGCTCCATGCTTATCTCCCAGGCTCAGCTCCTTCCCAGGCCAACCCTGCCCTTGCAGCAGCTTTGATCCTGGCAGGCACAGATCCCTAGAGGCCTGGACACCTAAGGGATTGACCTCCACAAGCAGCTCTCATGTCACCAGCTGAGGGGAGTCAGACTTCACTCTTTGTGCTGGACCCTCTGGGAGGATGAAGAGGGGGGCCGAAGCCAACCTGGAAGTGGGAAGGCCATAGGAAGTCGGGGCCTGGGGATGTCACCTTATCCATAGGTTGAAACTCAGGCATGTACTCACAGGCTGGCTCCCAGGACTGCCACATGGGTAGTGGAGCTCCTGGACACCAAGGACCCCACCTAGGGAAGATAGGAAGGCAGTCAGTGGGTTGGGGAGCCTACTCTGTGGGGTTTCAGCCTCATGTACTCAGAGAGTCAGGACAGGGATCAGGGGCCCCTGTGAACCAGGGAGAGCGTTGCCTAGGCCAGGAGTGAGGAAACAAGGGCCTGGAGATCCCCACCCATGGAGATAGAGGGTCCACGCAGGCCCAAGTGTCCTGAGCCTCCAAGGCCTGTGTATATGTGTGTGTGCATGTGACAGTCATGCCAACCGTTACTCACCAGGGGCTGTGCAGCCTCAATCACAGCCTAGCAGCCTTGGGATGTGGTGCCAGCAGTTGCTAAAAAGGTAAACACCTAGCTTGGGGGCAGGACAGGCAGCAGACTTCCCCTCACATACACTGGAGGGCTTGGCCCACCTGGCTAGCCCCGCTTCCCCAAAGGACTGGATTTCCTAGACCAGCTTCACCTGGCGGCCTTCCTGCTGCCTCACCCCAGACTGTAGCCAGCATCTGGAAGATTTCTTGGTTGTGCAGGCCCCCAAACTGGAGCCCCAGTCCACCTGGCCTCCCCTGCAATGTCCCTACACATCACTAAGTGGAAGCCTGGGATCATAAGCTCTGCCACTGACACCAGGTCACCAAGGTAGGGTTGACTTCTTGTGCTTCTAGATGTGAACCCCGTCCACCCTCTGCCCAGGTACCTTGGCTCACCCAGAAAGGCTCTCAGGACCAAGATGAGCCAACCAGGGGGTACAAGCCTGACATCTCTCCAATGCCTGGCCGGGATGAAGGAGGGGGCCCCCATTTTAGGGAAGTTGCAGGAAAGGTACCATGCTGGTCCCACACATGCCTACAAATACTGAGTGTTTTATAGATGGTCCCCTTGGATGTAGGCTGCTGGTGGGCTTGGGTGGCCACATCAGCCTGGATGGGGCTGTGACCAGAGAATGGGTGCTCTGGAGGCCTCAGCAAGGTGGGGAGAATGTGACTCTTCATCAAAGAACAGCAAACCTTCCCACCCCAGAGTCTAAACCTTCCCCAAAAGACCCCACTAGGCAGTTTGGATCCTTTTCCTCCCAGGGCCACCTGCCAGCACCTGCACAGTAACTCCTGTGGCTGTCACTAGAGGCCACCTTGTGCCCAATGTTTTAGCTGTCATGTGCTAATGCACACATTTTCCCAGCACCCGAGTATGGCTTGGGTTGGAAGGTGAGAAGTTGTCCTGTTGCTGGGATCCCAAGGACCCAGAGTCCTACGTTTTCCATGGTCAGTGGGTGCATAGATCTTGACGGATACAGTTTGCATCAGAAATAGCGTCCTGGGTCGGGCAGTAGTCTGGGCCTCTGGTCTGGAAGCTGAGAACACCCTCACACTGGGGTGTTGGGAGGCTCCGGCTGTAACTGTCTGGGACCCACCTTACTCTGGACCCAAGTGAGTAAGGCTCTGGGGCAGGAAAAGTCCCAGACTGGGAAAACTGGGGGCTGGGCAGGCCAACCCCACCCTGAGCCAACCCAGGGACCTTCTCTGATATTCCGCCCGGTGCCAGCAGCTGGGGCTTCAAAGGGCCACCATTTATTTGATTCCCTCCGCAAACACTACAAAGTGCCGCGGCCCCTGCCTTCCGGAAGCTCCGCTCTGAGCGAGGGCTGCAGAGTCAACAGCTTTTGTCCTGAGCTTTTGCTGCTCCAGTGGCGGCAGGGTGGGGCGTCCGCTCTCAAGGAGGACAAGTAGCCACAGGTTTGCCAGACTGATGGGCGCAGGCTGCCGCCCCCGCAGGATAGCTCAACAACCAGGGAAGGGTGTACAGGACAATAGCGCACCCTTGCCAAGCAGTGCTATTACCCCAGACCAGCAGATGCCACCTCACACCTCCGCTCCTGGGCTCCTCCTCGGAGGAAGCCCTGCCCTGGCATCACAAGGCTTGGTCATTTGAGGCCAAACTGCTCCTGGTTTGAGCCTTCGGCTGCACCCAGCACACCCTGGATTGTTGCCATGGCCTCCCCACCTGTACCTGAATTCTGTCTGAAGGCTCCAGCATATGCCGGGGCCACCCACTGAGGCCAGGCTCTTCCCTGCCCAGGCTTTGAGAGCTGGCCCTATGAGGCCCCTAAGAAGGGTGCCAGCCTCAGGTTTGGGGATGTCTCTGGTGAAGGGGTACAAACAGTTCTAGCTTGTGCCACAGTTTCCTGAGAATACAGACCCATTTTGGTGCTGGGGTCTAAGCTGTGCAACAGTTGCTGCAGTATGTTTACCAGCAGGCATGGCTGCCCTGTTGGACCTGCCCAGGGTGAATGCCTGGCCCAGCTGGAGGGACGGGTTGGGGTCTTGAAAGGTATAGAGCCAGGTGGGAAAACAAAATGCCTCCATCAGCCTCGTGTCCAGGTAAGTGGGGAAACTTAAGCCTCTGTGGCCTAGAGCCAGAGAGGTGGTCATTGTCCTAGGTAATCCATGTGTCCTAGGGAGAGCAGCAACTGAGACAGTGCCTGCCAGGGTGAGCTTCAGCAGGCCCGTGTCTCCCCAGTATCATTCTGTATCCAGTAGACATGTCGCACCCTCATCTATGACCTTAGGACAGGCCCTCGTCTGGACAAAGTCTCACCTGTGGGAAGCAAAAGAGCCAGGTACAGACCCAGACTTCAGCTCCGGGGCTCTACCATCTCTTTTCTGCAAAGCTGTCACCTGACGCTGCAATTTTGCGTGTGATGGGGGGGTTGGGTCATGTACACGTGCTTTTTTTTTTTTTCCTTTTTCTTTTATTATTCATATGTGCATACAAGGCTTGGTTCATTTCTCCCCCCTGCCCCCACCCCCTCCCTTACCACCCACTCCGCCCCCTCCCTCTCCCCCTCCCTCAATACCCAGCAGAAACTATTTTGCCCTTATTTCTAATTTTGTTGTAGAGAGAGTATAAGCTATAATAGGAAGGAACAAGGGGTTTTGCTGGTTGAGATAAGGATAGCTATACAGGGCATTGACTCACATTGATTTCCTGTGTGTGGGTGTTACCTTCTAGGTTAATTCTTTTTGATCTAACCTTTTCTCTAGTTCCTGGTCCCCTTTTCCTATTGGCCTCAGTTGCTTTTAAGGTATCTGCTTTAGTTTCTCTGCGTTAAGGGCAACAAATGCTAGCTAATTTTTTAGGTGTCTTACCTATCCTCACCCCTCCCTTGTGTGCTCTCGCTTTTATCATGTGCTCAAAGTCCAATCCCCTTGTTGGTACACATGCTTGTATAAGCAGTGCGCACACGTGCATAAGTGAGTCTGTGCGTGAGTACACGCATGGGGGTGTGCAATGTTTGTGTGCATGTGTGTACTGGTATCAAAATGTGTGCATACGTAGGTGAGTGTGTGAATACTCTGACCCACAGTTCAGAGTCAGGGCAGAGCTCAGGATTCCAAGCACCCTTGGAACAACAGATCAGGGAACCACGGGCAAGGGGGCTGCACTAGGCACTAGCAGGCAGTCTCCTTGTTTGTCCCAGTGTCCCTAAGGAGGAGGGTCTCGAGGGTGCACCTGCATGGCTTCCTGCTGGGCTGAGGCTTTGGGACCTGTGGGCCTATCTTTGCCATGCTAGACCCCTCCTCCAGCCAAGGATCAGGGTCCCTGCCTGCCCACCCAACCCACCCACCCAGCATGGCCCACTCACCAGCTGGCCTGTTTTCTTTGGAAAGCAGTGAACATTCTTTCATGTAGCAAGGCTGGTACACCAAGTGACAAAAGTGCCCACTAAGTAAATTAGAGGCCCAGGTTCCCAGTCTGGCTGGGCCCCAGATGTACAGGAGACACCTTCTGATTTCCAGAAAATATCTAGAAACAGCTCCAGGCACTGGATTGAAGCTCTTTGCATTTGGAAGTCCTGCCTCCCCAAGGAGGATGAGAGGTCAGTGGTTTCCAGGGGCAGGAGCTGAGGTGATGAGTTTAGTGAACAGCTCAGGCCTAGGGCTGACTTGGGACATGGCAACAATTTGCCCTCCGTGACACCCCCCAGCTTGCCTGGGTCGAACTGGTGGCTAGCACGCCCTGCACAGCGCCAGGGTTCAGCCAACTCAGCTCAAACAGGGCTGACTCTGGGGGCAGGAGCTTGAGATGGGTGACGGGGGTGACTCTGTGGAGAGTTCTAGAAGTCATGCTGAATTTCACCCTCCCCCCAGGGCATGGGCCCTCCACCCACCCCACCAGAGGGGGCCAGGCCATGAGGAGGGGGCCTCACAGGGTGACCTCGCCCCAGGGGTCGTGTGAACAGGGCGCTCCCGGCAGTGCTTTTGTGCTTCTTCAAGACAGGAGAACTTGACGCCCCTTCTCACGTTACTACTCGGTAAGTGTACAGACGCACACCAGGACCACCCCTCTCCCTCTGCCCTGACCGCAGCCAACCAGAAGGGCCCGTTGGAATTCCACGGCTCAACTTTGCAAAGAAAACACTCAGGCTGTGCTCTCAAATTATCAGGCAGTCTGTCCTCAGAGAGGTCTTGGCTCGGAAAAGTCCTGTGGCAAGTCACCTTTCTGCCAAATTTCAGTCTGAGATGTGAAAACAGAGAAACCAGAAGCACTAAAAGTGTATTATAGGGCAGGAAGGGTTGCTTCAGCAGGAAGGAGGTCTGAAAAGTGACCACGGCTGGGCCAGTGCAAGCTTTCCTGCACACGTACTTCGCAGGGAGCCTACCTGCGGGATGCATAAACCCAGAATCCCACAGGAAGCAGCAGTGTCCTCTCTCCATGCAGCGCTGGACCTGGAGACAGAACCAAGTCACCTGGAGCCAGGAAGAGCTGAGTGAGCTATCAGCAAAGATTGCGACCTCTTGGTCCAGAGCTGGTCCTCCATGCTGGGTTTGAGGTAATCCCCAGCAGGGGCAGGACAGAACCTTTCATCCCTCCCTCTGTGTGTACAGACATGCACACGCTCACATGCAAACGCACATGTACAAATGGACACACAAACATGCACGTGCACACACACACACACACATACCCAACTGGCCGCCTGGGCAGAGTGACAGAGGGCAGGGCTGCTCCTCAGG